GCGGCGCGGGGGGGGGGCCCATGAGCGGCGATGGCAGCGGCTATCGCCAGCTCGTTGATCCGGCAGAAGCGGCAGGCGAGGGAGTCCAACAGCGACCGGGTGTCCGCCTCCAAGCGCCGCTCCAGCCCCAGCAAGGACGGGCGCTCCCTCTGCGAGAGGCACGTCCTGGGGGTCTTCAGCAAAGTGCGCTTCTGCAGCGGCAGGAAAAGGCCGGTGAGGAGGAGACCGGGTGAGTACGGCGGGCCGGGGCCGTGGGGACCTGCTCCGCGGGGTGGGGCGACCCCGCACCCGCCGGGATGGCTTTCCCCGGGCGGGGGGGGCTGGGGAGGGCGGCCGGTCCCGGGGCTCTCCCGGAGCCGCCGGGTACCGTCTGGGGACGGGCTTGCTCCGCGCTCAACTTTCGCCCGGGTCCTGGCGGGTCTCGTCCCCGGGGCTGGTGGGATGGGTGGGCACCCACCTGCCGCCAGCATCCCTCCACCGCTGTCCGAAGCGTGGGCAAAGCGGGTGCTCCGGCAGGAGAGAGCCAGCGGCTTAATCTGTGCTAGCTTAACCCAGGATTGTATTTTTCCACCTCCCTGTAGATATGCTTTTTAAGCAGTCTCCTCTTATTTTCTGCACAGTGACAAGGAAATCGATAAACTGAGGATCAATTAGAATTGTGGCCATTTGATAACTAGATCCATCAAGTGCTACTTCACGAGCAGAGTTGCATAGGGAATTTCATTAGCTTAGAAGGCTTTCTAGATGGCAGCTGCACGACTGTTACACCTAATTCTGAGCTTGCAAGGACCTGGAAATGCTTTTTAGAGCAGTCTTTTTTCCCCCCTTTCTTTCCTTTATCTTTTTGTGCGCACGTGTGCTCAGTCTTGGTTCCTTGTGGAAAACTTCAGCCCTAATGTACGTGTTGCTCACATTTCCACAGTGAAGTCCCACCACCCACGGTCTCAGTTCTGAGCGGTGCTTTGTGCTCTCAGCTGTCCTTGGTAGGTGTGAAAATTCGGTACCTGGCAAGAGTAGGCCCTCCATGATTTCTTAGTGGAATTATTATTTACTTCTTCCTGTATTTTTTCACTGCTATAAATCAACACTAAGGTAAGAAAACGGGGATTGGTTTGAGAAGCTGCTGTGAACATGTACTTTTCTCAGGTGTCCCTTAGTATCATAGTTAAAAAAGAATGATACTTGTTCACTCCGCTCTTCAGGATGTACCATCAACCTGTGTAATCCTCCCATGTTTTCCATATACATTAGTATTTTGTTTGTTGATTAGTCTCTTCATGAAGCCCCTTCTCTGCATCTGAAGTCTGTCAGTCATGACTCTACAGCAAGGTGTCAGAGCTAGCAGAGGGCTGCTCTTCTGTTCTGTAGATTGAGGTACGTGACCTGTACTCAAGTGAGGAACAAAAAGAAATAGGGGGAAAGCCTCTTACCATAGAAGGCCTCTTAGTGTTGTCAACAAAGGGGAAAGAATAATTACTCTGGATTGCTGTTGGCACCCCTGATTCACAGGCTGTGGGGCAGGGACTATATTTAGCTAGCAAAATCCTTCAAGACTTGCACTGCACAGGTTAGGATGTGAAAACCGGACTCTTTAACGGTCTGTTTTAAAGCAGTTAACCAAAAGAAGATGCAAAATATCTGAAATACAGCATGACTTGAAATATTCAAAGGGAAAAAAGTTGCCTTTTTTTTTTTTTTCTTATCAAGTTATAATGAGTGTTCTCTTGCTGGACCATCCTATGTATTAGTTAACCTGTGAGCCCAGACCAAAAGATGGTTCTTGCCCAAAAAGTGTGGTGAATTTGTCTCAGGAATCGCTCTTTGTGGGATAAAGAGTGGGACCTGAGAGTCTCACTGATGAAATATTTTCCCATTCCTCTTTCCTCCCCATCTCCATCTGCTATTGAATGAGGTCCCTCAGGGACTAAAAGAGCTGAGAAGTCTAGACCTGTTACCTAGATTTCAAGATGCTTCATCTCATTAAAGTTTGAGTGACTTTTACAGCAGGGTGTGGTTGGTGAGGCTTTTCGTTGGTCCTACCACAGCGCTCCCAGCTGCACAGGTCCAGTTCTGCTTCCTCTGGACTCACTGAATGCCTGTGAAGAATCGATGAATTCTAAGAATTCCCTCAACTTGCATGGACTTTCATGCTGAGGAAGCTGTTCAATAACTTAGAGACCAGAGTGCTCTAAGGAAGACTTTTTATTGTCTTAGAAGAAGGATCAATGCTACTCACTGCTGTAAAAATAGAGCTGTTCAGTCTTTAGAGCTGTGAGTCAATCACTCATAAACACTACTGTATTCATTTTATAACATTAAAGAAGTAGAGAAGTTAAGTTGCTTTGAAAAAAATTCAAGTGTCCTTTCCTATGTTAGGGACTGTGTCTGCTTTAGTTCCCTATATTCATCTTCTAAATAGAGATTTATTTCACTGGTACATCCTATTCCTGGACTCAGGTGTGCTGCTCAGAAGGCAGCATGCCACTGCGTTTGCTGCTACTTGGATTGTTTATTCAGGGAGTGTATTGTGCCCAGATAACTTATTCATTGCAGAGTCGCTCTTCTGCATAGAAAATGACATGCAAATGAATTGAAACTGGTTTAAAGAAATGTGCATACATTGTGCAGTGACCCACAACCCCAGTGATTATGTGCACTTAATGATACGCTGGCTCAGTAGTTTGCAAGTCAGTGAAAGGAACGTGAAAAACATCCATGTTCAAAAGGGGTACAATCTCATTTGGAAATGATACAGTGCTAGGGGAACCGTCTGCCTTTTTAAACATGACCTCGTTTTATGGCTATGGGGAGTAACTGTCAAAATACTTCACATTTACAGAGTGATTTTCATCTGTAGTACCCAACAAGCTCTACCAAATGGAGAGGATTCTTCCCATTTTACAGAAGGCGAGACCGAGGCACAGAGCAGTTACCTGACACACAGACCTAATTCCTGATGCTCCTTCCAGCGCTCTGGGCTTTCGGCCCCTCGCTGCCATTGAGCTTACAACGTGGCAGTGGTGGAGCTGCAGCAACTTGCACCGTTACAGAAATATAACTCTGATGGTGGCTTATGTTCCCTTTGCTTTTGTAAGAGTAACCGTGTGAGCTTATGTCAATTAAGTGGTTTTATTATGTGACTCAAACAGTGCTGTAACTAAAATATTCAGTAAAGATGTGCGTGAGTGGAGTTACATTGCACTGGTTGGCACCTTGTGCTCCACTTTGCAGCCTGTGTGAAGCGAGAGTGAAATAATCCTGCTCTTGTATGGGAAGGGAGAATTCGCACCCAGTAGCAGTTCAGGCTCGCTTGGTGGTGGGCATGAGTAGTCACAGGTTTTGGCAAGCTATGGGAAACCAGGTCTGTGCAGGGACGTCTTGTATAATCAAAGCTATCAGCTCCTAGGGAAAACAGACTGCAGAAACTTCTCCTTTGTTGGTTGCAATAAGCACCATGTTGTAAAATGAGCACTTGTTTTATCTGCCTTTTTGGTGGGCAAAGGTAGCTCTCTCACAGGCACGCTCTGTGTTTTTTTATATCTCTTGCATGTGTTTGGCTCTAAGATGACTTACCAGTTTAAGATAGGCCAAATAAGGACGCTGAGTGCTGTGGACTAAGCTGAAAATCTGGACACATGGGCTTAATCCCATTATCGTGAATTAATACAGGTCATTGGCCGCAATTGTGCAGGTGCCAAGCAAAATATGTTGATGTTGAACAGCACCTAAATTATATATTTTGCTCTGACCACAGTAACTTGGTAGAGGATTCAAAAGAAATTGCTGAATGGCACGGCTTTTTGGTGCAGGTTCAAGAGATGGATCCTTCATCAGAGAATGATAGATCCAAGAGGTGAATGCAGAAGACTAGACAAAGCAGCTCTCTTTACGTGACTTCTCTCCCAACAAATGGTTGAACCAAGTGGCTTCATCCCCTTTGTGGCTGAATTAAAGCACGTCCCTTCTTCAGCTCTTTTGAACAGGCTGGAAACCCTGGGCTGGTGGGTCCAGCTTGTTTGTGAAAGCTGTGGCCGTGGCTTCACTGACCATGTGCTCAGGCAGAGCTCACCCTGGGGAGCTGGGGTGGAGGTGGCCTTCCATCATGCCATGGCCACTCAGCGGCAAAGCTGAGGAGTCTGGGGGCCTTGCACAGAGGGAAACAGGCTGGAGCATCAGGCACAGTATCTGAGGGGGGTGGTGGAAATTTTATCTCGGTGAAGCCCACTGAAAGGGTGACGTTACTTGGGGAGATCATATTTGAAGTCAGGCAGCTTTGGGTCAGGCTGTGCCAGGCACTGTGTAGCATCGTTTCTGTCCCTTCAGGCATTGCTTCTGTAGATGAGTTCCCAGCTCAGAATGCAGAGCTCAGTCTCAAACAGGTTTTTTACCCCAGGAAAAAGAAAAAAATTCTGCATTGTTTTTTTTTTTTCCCCGTCTGATATATTTTGTGCTCCTCCAGGGATAGGATGCTTTTCCTTAAGGAGATCTAAAGGCTTCTTCCAACGTGAAGGAAATGGTTCACATATAGAAAAAAAGCAGTAACTTAGAACATGTTTTCCCTTTGCGGTATTTCTCGTTTTGAATAATAAATGGAGATTTGGAATTTAAAATACACATATATAGATATTTTTGCAGCAGTATAAGTAAAATATAAGAGCAGCTTTAGTTGAAGGACACAGAAGGACTTTGTTCATTCGGAGATTCATTTAAAACATTTGAGAAGTCTGTCATCTCTGCAAGCTGTTAAATTCCCCGAGTTAAATCTTGAAGTCTTTTCTGATTTCGTGCAGGGTGAAAATGATGATTGAAGCTCACGGTAAAACCCACCTTTTTAGCTCCCCGTTAAATTTGTCATAGCCCTTGCCTGCTTTTATGGAGTGGTTCATCTCAGAACAGCTGTAATATCTGCCTAACCTGTGGAATTTGGCCCCTCTGTTGCTGTCCTAACGGCCGTTGGGTTGCTGTAGTGTCCTAATGCCGGCTACATTATCTCAGCGCATAGCTGCCGTCTGCAGTAGGATTCAGGCTGGACGGCAGCACTTTTCCATAGCGTGTGTATGCGTATCTGGGTGTGCGCCCAGCCAAGGGGGGGTCCATCACGTTCTTCTCCTGCTCCTCTGCAGGAGGTGCTGTGCCCCGTCTCTAAGGAGTGGCTGGAGGGAATGGAACTGCCTGGAAATCCTGGCATCGCCTTGCCAGCAAGAGCTGTTAGAAGCGCTCGCTGAGATG